TTGATCTTTCTTTGTGGAATAGTTTGGTAACAAGTGCTGCTGCTCTTCTGGGGGTTTAGAATTACCTCTAAAATAATTTTTTCCTTGATCTCTTTGAATTGTATACCTTATTTCCAGGTCACTTTTGTGTTCTGCTATTGTTTTTATTTTTTATTTATTTATTTTTTTGGGGTCCAGTCATGGGGCCTGAACTCTGGGCCTGGGCGCTGTCCCTCAGCTCTTCAGCTCAAGGCTAGCGCTCTACCACTTGAGCCACAGCGCCATTTCCTGCTTTTTTTTTCTTTTTGCTTATGTGGTACTGAGGAATCGAACCCAGGGCCTCAAGCATGCAAGGCAAGCACTCTACCACTGAGCCACCTTCCCAGCCCTGGTTCTAACTTTTGATATGTGTGAATAATACATGAGCAGAAGTCATGCCTTGAAAGCCCAGGAGCTGTGTCTGACCACTTACTTGCCTAAATGTAAACGCAGAGGTTTCAGGGCACCTGTTTTAATTGTAACGTGCTTCTTTGCTTTGCCTCTGGTACATGACCCTGTTGCCTACCATCAAGGCCTCGCTCTAGAATTTGCCCTCCAAGACTTAACTTCTCCTCACTTGATTGTGCTTATCTTCGTATTTCCAAATTTAAAATTTCATTCAAGAAATTTCTCATAGCTAGGTGAGATCATGCTTGTCTATAATCCCAGCACTTGAGAGGCCAACCTAGACTAGTAACATCTTATATTTAAAAAATGAATGAATAAAACAGCTTGTGAAGAATACTCTGCTTCAAGTGAACCTCACTACACTTTTATTCTTCCAACATTGAAAACACTATTTATCAGATATCCACTGTGAACCAGTGTTGGGTGCTGAGGCTTCAGCAGTGAAAAAAAATATTAACACTACACTCGGGGCTGGGAAGATGGCTCAGTGGTAGAGTACTTGCCTTGCATGCCTGAGGCCCTGGGTTTGATTCCTCAGCACCACATAAAGCAAAAAGAAAAAAGCCAGAAGTGGTGCTGTGGCTCAAGTGGTAGAATGCTAGCCTTGAGCTGAAGAGCTGAGTGACAGCGCCCAGGCCCAGAGTTCAGGCCCCACGACCAGACCCCCCAAAAAATTAACATTACACTCATCTCAATAGCAACATAATAATCACCACAATATAGTGTTAGGTAAGGCACAGCATTAAGTAAGGAAATTTCAGTTTCACTAAGAACTATTAAGAGGGCTGAGAAGGTGGCTCAGTGATAGAGCACTTACCTTGCATGCCTGAGGCCCTGGGTTCCATTCCTCAGCTCCACATAAGCAGAAAAAAAAGCCGGAAGTGGCACTGTGGCTCAAATGGTAGAGCGCTAGCCTTGAGCTGAAGAGCTGAGGGACAGTGCCCAGGCCCAGAGTTCAGGCCCACGACCGGACCCAAAAAAAAACCCAAAAAACTATTAAGATAGTTGTTAGTTTTTCAAACTATAATATTTCTAACTGACTGGTCTAAACTTGATTCTGTTTTTAGCTACTAATAAGGAACTGGAAAGAAACTGGCAAATATCCTTTTGAGACCTGAATGCTTAAAATTGTTCAGCCTAGCCTTGGTGTGGTAGAGGAGGAA